TGAGCAAAGATGAGGGGGGTATGAAACCATCCTGCATACCTCCTAAAAGCAGCCGATTAGTCTTCCTGCCATGGGAAATGTCCCTTTTCCTCTTTCTTCAGCCACAACCCTCCCAGGTCATACTAACCAGGTCACAGAACTGATTGCCAGCTACCCAGGCACATGATGCTCCTGCACCAGCCAAGCTCTTCCACAAGTTTTTGGGGGGCAAGAGGGAAGGATCAGCCTTCTGATCTGTTCATACCTCACTTACTGTAAAAGGAAGCCAGTTTGAATGAAGTTGCCGGACACTGTAATAACAACTAATACACAGCCATTGGCTCCCACCTTTGCACTTCCTCCTTGGGCGTTAAATGAAGGAGGTGAGCAACCTTGCAGAACGCAAGCAGACTTTATACACTGCTAAGACATGACAGCCTGCAACAGCCATAGCTTGGAGACAACACAGACAAATCCCATCATTTTTTTAAAGTTAAACAAGCTCAGCTGTGCCATACCTGGCAGGATCTGCAGGAAACATAATGCTCCTTTTGATCAGAGGATTCAGAACAGTCCTTCTGTGTAGCAATATAGCACAGTGCAAAAATCTGTTCAGCAATAGGGCAATTCTTACATGGACCAGTATACAAAGGTTTTGAGGGAGGATGTCCATTAATATACCAGACACTGCCAAAATCCTAAGGCCCTGATCCAGCAGAAATCCCTGTAGAAGGGCCCCTGTGATCTCTACAGCCAGGGAACACCCCAGGTTGGAGGGGAAGAAGATATTGCTCTAAGCAAAAGCAGAATGAGTCAGGTCTGCTTTATTCCAGGAATGAAGCAGATTCTTCTCCACAGATAAGAAAATAAGAGTCACCATCCATCTACCCCACACAGCTTGACCCTAGGCACTCATTTCAGGAGACACATAAGGGTTCAGAGCAAGAGACCTAAACCCAGGGTTCTCTCTCCAAGATAATCTTTTGTGGAGCAGTTTTGCTGCCATTCAAGCACAAATACTAAACACACCCTGTTAAAAGGCACAGTGCACTGCCTGTGTAATATACTCCAGATTAGTATGTAAAAAGCCTCACTTTTCCAAAGACAACTGTTTTATTTACAAGACCTCAGTCGTCACCCCAACTTTTCTACACAGGGTAGCAGAAGCTGGAAGGGACTTGCCTGGATTAACACAGCAAAAGCCTGCTTCCCACAGACTCAGAATTATGCTCTTCCCTTGTATATACATAACAGCCACCATCCCATCCTTACGGTGATTCCCACCTGGTAGCAGCAGCCCAAAGAGGCCATTTTAATAGATGTTGCATTGCATCTACCCTTGCCCCAATCCCAGCTCAGGGCCTTGGAGGACATCAGGTTCCATTAACCAGACCGTTTGCCACCTGAAGTTGCAACCAACAAACTCTCCCAACCTGCAGCACCCAAAACATCCCCATGAGTCCTCCTGCTAATGCTGAGGCTGCTGTGCAAAAGCCTGCTTTAGAAAACACCAAGTCTCATGGTGTTGTGCCAGGAGCCTGCAAGTTCAAAGTCCTCAGCAGCACCTCAGAGCAGAGTTCACAAACAGTTTATTATCGCTCCATCAGAGGTCCACGCACTGCCAGGCAGCTCCAAATGAGCCCTCCATGGCTGTGACAGTTAGCGCCGCAGGACCACTGAGGTTTCATTAATATTCATGTCCCATTGACACTCAGCAAGCAATGAAAGCTTGCTTTCTACAGCAGATCATTAAGCGAGGGGAAATGAGTGACCTCTTAAGGCCAGCTACGTCACAGATGTCACCAGGAGCTGAAGGGACAGTGACAGGGTCACACCCAGCACTTCTTTTAATAAATAACAGTTCTAAATGAGCATGGCCTTGCCATGCCCAGTGGGACCCACATAAGACTGAAAGCATCTGGGAAGCAGATGCCCGAACTGCAAAGCCAGGCACAGCAGTGCCTCCTTTCAGCAACCCTGTCCAGGAAAGGCTGGGCAGCGGGATGCTGCCGTGCGGCGGGAAAGTGAGGAAGCGGCATCTCACCAGGAAATCAAGTATGTAATTCTGAAATAAATCACGGTGTTTTGGGCACAGTTAGCCCAGCTCAGTGGGAACATACACACCTCCCTCTACAAGCTGGTAGCATTCAGGAGCAACTCAGGGCTTCCTCGAAGCATCCCAGCTCAGGGTATTTAGCAGAGAGTTCCCCCCAGGCAGCAGTTACAACACTCCTCATAGCAGACTTGATCTCAGATTACAGACCCTAATTGCTGCTGTCAGAGTAACAATTAGCATCAGGTTAATACATTTCCTGTGCTCTCAGAAGAAGATGGGGAAGGAAAAGGGAGTCTTAGTCCCAGTTTACCTCGCGTTCACTGGGAGGCCACAAGAAAGCAACTCACCCGCAAACTTCCCAAGCACCTAGTTTCCACAGGAGAGTCACCACCACCAAAACACCCAAAGCAGCACAGGAAAAAATAAGCTCCTCCAGCCCTCCTACTCCAGGCAGACAGCTGCCCTACCTCTAGGCTTCCACAGAAAGAAGCTAAGGGAAGATCACATCTCACCAGAAACAAGATACCCTCTCTGTTCCAAGAAGCCACCAGCATCACCCAGAGCCTCTTCTTTTTTTAGCTCCTTCCTTGAAGCCTGACACCCAACTCATGTGTATCAGGTGTGCACCAAACAAGGTTGATTCAACCTCTTAACTCTTTCATGACTCTTGATCTCCATACCCCCATGGTACCGAGACTAAAGAGTGCAACAGGTCACATGCAAGCAAGGAAACTCCTGTAACCCCACATGCACAGCTGCATGCAGAGCTGCCTCTCCTAAGGGGATCTGCAGCACACTCTACTTCAGAAAAACTTTGCTACCTGACTCCTTAAAACCTCGGGGGGGTGGAGGGGATCAAAAGTAGAGTCAGAAAATAAAGATCTGAGGAGATCCCAAAACAACAAAATTTATTTCTAAAAGTATTTGCCAGATCTGCAAACTCATACAAGCAAGAAGTCCCCTACATGTATAGTTTTCCTCCAAAAGAGATTGCCTGAAGAACAGGACAGACCATGTTCAATCTCAGAAAAGCAGGATATTTAAGGCCCAAGGTGAGAGCTTTGCATACCGCTCAGCCCATTTAAACCAACTCCAAAGACTGGAGAATGGCAAAAAGCCCTTACAAAGCCAGGGAAGTAACACACTGACCCTACCAAGGGTTGTCCCCATGAGCACTGCTGCCCAAGGCATCCTGAGGGACAGGAAGGTGTACAGGCACAGGGCTACGGTACACAGAGCTGTGAGGACACCCAGCAGGGCCACAGCCCCAGCACAGCCTGGGGATCCCTCTCCCCACACTGAAAGAGACAGAAGCATCCCAGGAGTAGGAGCCCCATCCCCAGGAAATCTGCTGGAATCGTGTGCTGCGATCAGCCAGACTCACCCCAGCGTGGCATCCCAGGCTCAGCCAGTCGCTTCCAACCTGTGCAGCCCTGCAAACCAAACCTGGAGGCATCTGGCCCTGGAAGGAGGGAGAGCCTAGTGAGCAGCACTCAGGGCACTTGCTGGCAGTGTCTGCCCAGCCAGGTGCTCTGAGTTTGCATCAGCCTCGACAGTCTTTTTTAAAACAGAAAGCAAACAGCCCCATCACTACGGAGGCTCACGTTTCTGCAGGCATTTTGAAGTAAGCCACCCCCACACTCGCCCACTACCCCCAGCCCTCGCAGCACCTCCCCGAGCCTGCCGAAGGCAGCCTGGACCCGGCCCACAGCCCATCACGAGCAGGTGTTGGCACCACAGCCTGCTGCAAGCAGGTCGCAGCCCCACAGCCCGTCACGAGCAGGTGTTGGCACCACAGCCCACGACAAGTGGGCCCCAGCCCCGCAGCCTGCTGCAAGCAGGTCGCAGCCCCACAGCCCACCATGAGCAGGCCCCAACCCCACAGCCTGCGGGTTTCTGCCCCACAGCCTGTCACGAGCAGGCCCCAGCCCCGCAGCCTGCTGCAAGCAGGTCGCAGCCCCACAGCCCGTCACGAGTGGGCCCCAGCCCCGCAGCCTGCTGCAAGCAGTCCTTCACCCCACCTGTTGTCACAAAGGGGGGGGGGGGGGGGCGGCCGCAACCCCACAACCTTTCACAAACAGGTCTTGGCCCCCATAGTCACGAGTGGGCCCGGGCCGCGCAGCCCCACCAGCCCGCAGCCCACTCGGTGTCGGGCGGCAGGCGGACCCCAGCCGCGGAGCCGCGCTTCACCTTCCACACAGAGCGGCCGCGAGGGGACAGCCCCCTCCGGCCCCGCCCCCGACGAAGGGGCGGTTCTATATTAGCATGCGGCGCAATGCCTGCTGGGTAGCACCGACTGCTCACCCTGACCTCGAAGCAGGGAGAGAAGTGAGTATATATAGGGGAGAGAGGAGTGGCGTTTTGTTCGTCCGGGGGAAGCTCACCGCCGAGGCCACCCACAGGGTGCCCGTCACCCACGCCCCGCCTCGGGGAAGGTCTGAGAGAAGGGCCGCCCGCGGCTCTAGCAGAGCCCCGCCCGCGAGGGGCGGGTGAGCCACCAGCAAGGGGGGGCGCCGCGCATCATGGGCCGGCCTGGGCAGGAGAAGCCGTAGCTGGTTCCCGGCGGGGGCGGCGGGGCTTCAAAACCCCGCTCTCCTGCTCGAGTGAACCCCGGCGGATGCTCGTGGCCCCGCGGTGCTTTGAGACAGACTCACGGCCAGCCATGGTTGAGTCCAATGGGTGAGGTGGGGCATCGCCCTACAACCCAATTCAGACTACTCTCCCCCGGACACCCTTTTTCTTCCCCGTTCCCCTGTTTATACAACTTATAAACTCCCCCAACACCCACAAAACTGGTGGTAGCAGTTGAGACCCACAGCCCCGGACAACACTGCACATCATCTGGGGTCACGGGCCAAACCTCTGTCACCCCCCTTCGAAAATAATCACAAACACCATTTTGGTTAAAGAACTTTCTGCAAATGGTCACCACTGTTGGTTTCAGCCACCCCCCCGGGCTCTCCGCTCACAGGGGGTTGGGGTAGCGGCGCTGGGAAAGGAGCCTGGGTTGGTTGGGTCGAGCGGCAGCGGCCAGCTGGGAAGCAGAGAGAGGTGGTGTAAGGGAGGGTTGTACCCCAAAATGCAGACCTGCTGTCCCCAGGATGCAGCCACAAGCATTCCCCCCTATTTCCCTCCTCCATCACCACCCCCCCCTCACTGTCCTTCCCCCAATTATTTTCTTATAAACACCAAACCCTTATACCCAGGGCTGGTATCCCCTATATCCCCCTGCCCATAGTAGATTGCGTGCAACCTGGCATCACCCCTAAAGGCAGGAGCCAGCCCCAGCTCTAACCAGCAACACCACAGGACAATGCTCTCACCTGAGACACCTGGACAGGGTTGAAGAGAGGAACTGTCCCCACCGATGGGGGAGATTCATGGGAGACAGTCTGGAAGGGGTGAAGGGAGAGAAACTTAACAGCCACCCCCCAATTTCAGTCCCCCCCATCACACACAAGTACACCTCCCTCCTCTCCTCACCTGCTCTCCTGCTGACTCCCCACCACCTGCATCCCACGAGCCTTTCATCTCAATGGATGCTGGAGTAACAGGAAAAGTATTTTCACCTTGCATTCCTCCTGGGGCATGCAAGCAAAAAAAAAAAAAAACCACAACAAAAACCCCACCAAACATAATTAGGAGGAGCAGCTTCTAAAATGCCAACAGGGAGAGGGGAAAGGGGACCCATGCAGCATTTACCAGGGTTCCTGGAGGGAGGCTGAACCAAAGGGCTTGTCCCAGCCACAGGAGGAGCTTCATGTGGGGATGGTGACATCCATTCCTGAAACCACATCCACCCATTTAGAGCAGAAGCTCTTTGCATGGCGAGAAAACCTCTGCACCAGATATACCACACCACACTTTCGGGGTGCCACTTTGCACCCATCCTGCTGGAGAGGTACCCCAAGAGCTACAGGCACCCAAACTAAGGGGCAGCTACAGGATCAGGGCAAGCAACACCTGTCACAATGCTAAACCACCCAGAGAGCTCAAAATTAGGCAGGAGGCTGGACACCAGGCCCATGTACAATGTAAGGGGCCACCAGGGTCCATGGGTCCCCCTCTGTTCCTCATCTCCTGCTAGTTTTGGAATAATATCCCAAAATTTCCTGCTCCAGGATTGTAGGTCGTTCTCAACCAGGAAGAAACTTCCAGGGGAGGGTCTCGCTCCAAGCCCACTGCCAGCCCGCAGTCAGGGATGTGACACCCTGAGGACTCAGCCAGGACTGGGATAACCACACATGAATCCTTCCCCCTCTCTGCTGTGCTTCCAGTTAAAGAGGTTTTCCTTCCCTTCAGCTCCTAAAACCTGCCCAAGCTGTGCTGCTCGCAGCTGCTGCTTTCTGCTCCAGCAAAGGGCAAGCCATCCCCACATAGTTTGCTGAGTGCTTGGAGGACCTCCTGGTTCAAAGAGGCTTTATAAATTTACAGTTATTATTAACCAAGGATTCACTTCCAGGCTAAAAGGGCTCCTGGTCCCGCTCTGTCCCTGCACAGAACGACTACGGCCGTGGGGAGCTGTGCAACGGCACAGCCCAGCCACCTGCATGAGGACGGAGGGAGAAATAGCGGGTGAAGGGGGAAACGTGTCACCCGTCCCCATGGCTGTAACCCTGGGTGTCACCTGGGGACAGGACAGCCTCTCACAGCCTACCTGTGGTCCCGGCGTGGGGGAGTCTGGGCCCGTCTCAGACCCAGCTTTGGGAGATGTTTCCTTGGTGGGCTTCGACCGAAACCAGCCAAACCACCTGAATCCAGAGCTCTGGGAAATGCACGTTGTCACAGTCAACATAAATGGGTGAGAAGGGGAGGACGCCACGGCCACCCAGCTGCCCCCCACACCAGCCATGGGAGCAGGTACTGTTTTGCCCAGGTCAGGGCAGGGACAGCAGGCATCAGGGACAGGCAAGCTCAGAGCACAGGGCTTCACGTCAGCCCTGGCATGCTCACCTTATCCTCACCCGGCTTCACCGCCTCTGCTGGTGCTGGCTCTTCAATGGTGTCTTCAGCCGTGCTCTCTGAGGAAGGCCGGCTGTCATCTTCCAAGTAGACAGTGGAGCTTTCCGAGATGGTCCGAGCCCTTGCCTTTAACTCCTCCTGGCATCGGAGATCAGAGCTGCCACGTCGTGTTCCCAAATGAGCCACCCCAAGCATGATCAGACATTGGAATAGGCTGCCCAGGGAAGTGGTTGAGTCACCATCCCTAGAGGTATTCAAAAAGCAAGTAGACGGGGTACTCCAGAACATGGTTTAGTGGGCATGGTTGATGGTTGGACTTGATCTTGAAGGTCTTTTCCAATCTAAATGATTCTATGATCAGAGCATCCCCGGGACTCCTCCATGCCAGGCTTAACAGGTAGCACCCCCAGGGACCCCAGTGTCCCTCGCACATCAGGTGGGGAGGGACAGCACCCACAGCAGGGTGCAGTGGGCAGCCCATGGTCCCAGAGATAAGGAGGCTGGAGAGGGCTACCCTGACCCATCAGGTCCCTAAGGGGATGGCTGGCATCACAATGCAGGGGGGGTTCCGTGTGAGTTAAGCATGTGGAAGGACAAGACAGCGAGTCCCAAATCCCCCCAGTGCCCCCCAATAATGGGTCAGGGATGGTCTCCCTGACTCACCTGCTCTGCTGGGAGGGATGGCTGCACCCCTCCAGGGGACAGCGGGGCATCCTGGGGCTCCCCAGCTTCTCCTGTGGAGCAGAGGGAAGGACAGTCAGGGCTTGGCCCAAGAAGCTCCTGCCATGTCTATTAGAGATATTTGCAGTGCTTCTATCCTCCCACTCCAGAGCAAGGCCACATGGCCAAGATGTCCCCCCTTAAGAGATGCAAAAGGCCATTCTAGTCCCTGTCCATGCCAGCACCAGGGAGGGAATAAGTCACAAGCCTGCACTGGTGCATCCCAAAAACCAGCCTTGCACTGCTGGACATGAAGCTGGTTTTCCCCATCTGGTAGGGAAGTGGCATCACTGCCAGCAACCCAGAGCTGCCCTCCCTTGCTGCTTTGGGCAAGTTCTTGTGAAAACGAAGAGCCACCTGCCCAGGGTGGCTGACAGTGGTGGACTTGGTTTGCGTGCACACCACCGGGAAAGCGTGGCTTCACGTCTGGGGCAAGGTTGGAGGGAAACAAGGCTCTGGGTGAAGGGAGCAGCATTTGAAGTGACGCACATGCCATAGGGGATCACACTTCCCGGAGGAACACCCCATCCCACTGCTACTAACTGGGGACGGGTATTTTTGCAGAGAAGCAAGGCTAGAGCACTTACCTGCCAGTGGCACCACCTGCAGAGGGGGCTCAGCAAAAACCCCTCCCGGAGGGGCAGCCGTCCCCAGGCCGAGTGTGGGGGGCTGCAGCTCTTGCCCAATGCCGAGCAGTGGTGATGCTGCGACCTGAGTGGGGGCCGGGGGCTGGAGAGACACGTCCTCGTGGGAGCTGGGTTCCTGGGGTGGCATGGGCTGGTACCACTGGTCATACTGGTAGCCTTTGCTCTGGGGAAGCTCCTGACCAGGCTCTCCATCTGCAAAAACCCCACACCTCAGGAGTTTACTCCAGTGTTTATAATTTCATCAGGCTGTTGCACCGAATTCTCCCTTTTTCCATTATACATCAGTAGGAGCTGGGGGCATGAGGAGGGACCCCAGGGACCACACACGGGCAAGGAAGGAGGTAGGGCACAGCGCAGCAGTGGCAACCTGTCAGAGGCTTCAAGGAAGGTGGGCTGTGAAAGACAGGGGGGGGAAAAAACCTCCAATGCCTGACATTGCAAACGAACTTGGAAGGGGAATGCTATGGAAACAAAGAGACCAAGCACAAGCAGCTCACGCCAGCAGTTCAAAGGAGTCCGGGGCCTCCGGCCTTTTCTTCCACTCCTGCTGCACACCCCAGGCAAGAAAGAAAATTCACCAGGAAGACACAGCCTTCATTTCTGCTCCACAGGAGCACCCACAGATGAGTTTCTTGCTTTAGGCAGATTTATTCAGGGTTGGGTTTTGTTTGTTTGAAAGGCATGTTGAGCAAGTGGGTTTTGTTTTATTTAACACACACATGCGTTGCTCTGTCTGGTGTTAGACACAGCACAGGCCCCACACTGCCATTGGTCCAAGGTGCATGTCCTGCTTGTTCCAGCTGTGCAGCCTTCAGCCAGAAACGTGCTAGGCACTGGGAATTTTCTCTCCCATCACCATAAGACACGGCCAGGCAGGACCCAGACCCCTGGGGTCTGAGCCTAGGGACAGACTATGGCATCTCTTGGATACAGTGCTACAAAACCCTTTGCTTTGTCCGCCGGCATCGCCTCCAGCCCGCTCAGGGTTGGCTTCACACCCGCAAGCTGTTCCCACACAGCCTGGAGATGCTTGAGATCCGCAGGGAGGAGGATGGATACTCAACTCCATGCTCCTTGGCAAGCTGAGCTGGAAAAAGTCAGGGAGGACAGCCCAGGCTGTAAGGATGGAGAGGGAGGTTGCTGTGACCACATGGATCCCAGCTTAGCACCTTGATTTAGGCTTTGTCTTTCCAAAATGGATGAACTCAGCACCAAGCCAGCTTTCTTTGCATGCAGGTCCCTCAGATGGTGACTCTGGATGGTCTTCCCAATGAACAAAAGGGCCAAGCTTTGAGAAAGTGAGCTGCAGAGGCTACATGGAGCGGACCTGGCCACTCAGAGAAGCCCTCATCATACCTCTGACTTTTTTCCAAGGAATGGTTATCATAGCCTCAGCCCTGATAGCAGCAGAAGGCAATCAGGATTGATGATCCTTTTTACTGCCTGGGAGAGCTCTTTGAAGAATTTGGCAGCAGCAGGGAAAGCTGATAGGAAGAAAAGGCTGGGAGGAATTTGTCATGTTTTATCCTGTCTGCACAAGCCTTTATTCTCCACCCATTGGTACCAGCATTCCCAGCAGAAAGCTGGATCTGAGCAGCAGCAAGGAGCAGTGGGCTGTGCTGGGGCATCCGGCTGATGGAGGTGGCCGTGAAGCAATGCCAATGGGTCACCAGCCCCTGACTTCTTGATGGGACATCCCAATGGACCCAGGGAAGGCTCATGTCCCTCATCTTGATGTCTCTTGACCCTCTGGGTGGAATATCACTGGAGGGGACTCGGGGTCACCAAGGGGCAAAGCAAAGGGGTAACACTGGGGCTTTACCAACAGGCATTCTGCAGCCCAGTATGCAGAGGGACAAGCTCCTTCCCAAATTTTTCATTCTGAAAGTGAGAAATCCCCTTAGTTCAGCTCCAATTTTCATCCTCGAAGGACTGCCTGGGAGGAGGGCCATCTCCCCTGAGGCTCGGCTGGGAGGCACGTGCTTCGTCCAGCTGCCCACCCCCAGTCCCCATTCTCCCACGACACCCACAGGGACTCTGAAGCTGTGGTAATTAGGCCCAATTACTCAGACATTATACAGAGGGCATAAGCATCAACCCCTGGGTTTGCAGCCCATCCCCGGCAGCCCCACACTGGAGGGATGCATCCAGGCAAGAGCAAAATTTTGAGTTCTGGGGGGATGTAAGGAGCAAGGAGAAGCTGCTGAGAAATGCTCTGGGGAGCAGGGAGCTGCCTCCCAGCCCATGGCAGCACAACTCCACGTGCAGAGAAGGCTGCTGCAGCGATTGCAACCTGCTGCTTCATTTTCTTTACCTGCCATCGATGCAGCAGCCCAGGAGAGATCTGGCTGAGTGGGTGCCACCTCCAGAGAGAGGTCGTCTTCCACCTGCAAGGAGTCAGAGGGAAAACGTGATAAAACAGAAGGAAAAAGGGATGGCACAGGGCAAAGACTAAGGAAACCATGAAGACACTGTGAAGAAAAGCATGGGGCTGGTGGGGCTGGGGCTCACAACCCACCCTGGGCTGTAGGAGTCTAGGTTACAGGTGAGACCCATACCAGCACAGGCACAGCACTTTCCCAGCAAGTGAAGGGGGCTGCAGCACCACTGCCCTGCTGAGAGCAGGCAGGAGGGGAAACTGGAGACAGAAAAGGGCACAAAACCAAAAGCAGACATGAAACCTGAATGAAAAACATTAATCCAAGGATCAGCCTACAGTCAAGGGACCTGAGAGCATACGTCTGCAAGATGATGCCCCACCAGTGTCCTCTGCAACATCCTCACTGCAAGAGGAGATCATCATTCACCCACCAGCCCCTGACCGCCCTCCCTGAGCCAAGACAAGGAGTGTTTTACCCCATGCAAAGCTCTGCAGCCCTTGCTGCTCACACCCTCAGGCACTGCAACCCCCCTGCTTCCACTGAAGCTGCAGGTCCCCCAGCAGAGACCATGTCTCTGAGCTCACAAGCCAAGGGGAAAGGCACCTGGTCCTTCGAATGGCCTTCAAACCTCCATACCCATCCCTCCCCTTAGTTTCAGGGCAGAGGAGGAGGATGCTCCTGCAGACAAACACCACTACAGATCAGCTGCCCTGCAGCATCCCCGCTCCTCCTTACCTCCCACTCCCGGCAGCAGGCTCGGAGCTGTAGCAGCCAGTCAGGCTCCAGCATCTGGTCCTGCTCTGGCATCTCCAGGAGCAGAGGGTCAGAGAGCTTCAGCCTCTCGGCTAGCTGCAGAGCCAGGAGGACAACGAGGCTCATCACACATCTTACCTCCGCAGGGAAGAGACCCACCCTCGCAGCAGTCACACATGGCTGGGCACACAGGCCCAGGGGAAAACCACCAGAGCTGCACTTCTTCACAAGATGGGGGTAAAAGTAACACCAGCCTCTCACGTGAGATTTATTCCCTCTCCTGCATTGCCACAGAGAGGTGCTGGCCCATCCTGTGCCCCGCGGAGAGCCGCCCAGCAGGGCTATCTCAGCCACCTCCACATAGATGTCGAAGTACCCACGTTAAAGATGCTCTTCACATCAGAGAGGCAGCTAACTATTACCATCCTTTTCTCCTCCGAGGAAAACGAGCACCTTAATCCTACTTGACAGCCAGCCTGCGGCACCAGCAGGTTTGCAGAACACCCCACCAGGAGCCCCGGAAACAGCCCAACTCCCAGGGCTGTGCATCAACCCCTTACCTACCCTACAAGGATGGATGGGAGCTGGTAGGGTTTGAGCTAAGGGCTCACCTGTCTTTGCAACAAGTATTACCATTACTAATAAACACGCAGAAAACAGAAATGCAGGGCTGGAAGGGACATTCTGAGATTACCTGATCCATCTGCCAATGCTCAAGAAAATCCTGTGTGCCCACACCAGCCCATGTTTGTCAATTTGCACTTACAAATCTCCAGGGAGAAGATTTTGCAGCCTCCTAGGCCTGTCCTGATGCTTAACGTCCTTAGAGCTAAAGAGTTTTTTTCATAACATCGAAGTGAAATCTTCCCTGCTGCAAATTAAGCTTCTCAATTCCTGCTCCTGCAGAAGCTGCAGGGACAATCAGGCACCATCCCCTGAAAAGCAGCCTCCTGCTCCCCTGTACCCCTTCCTCCCCGCCAGCATATCTTGCCTGGAAAAAATAACCCGGAGGCCTTCTTTGGAGGTCATTTTCCCCTCAATCTCTTATCACCCCTGCTCTTCTATTCTGTACTTGCTCCAATTTGGCCCTGTCTCTGAGCGCAGCATCCCAAACAGGGCACAGTGCCCCAGCCAAGACCCCAGAGACCTGAGCACAGGGGGATTATCACCTCCTTGTCTCACACATGCAGTTCGTGCTCTCATAGCCCAGAATAACATTATAACATTGGAATTTTTTTTTCTTTTTTGCAACAGCATTCTGTTATGTTGCTGCTCGGTATTTTTTCCATGCTCCACTATCTCCCCCAGGTACCTCTCTGCAGTATTGCTGCTGTGTGTTTAATTTCTCCTGCAAGAGAGGGGTCTCTGCCACCCTGGCTGCAGCCATCTCAATCACGTGGGGTCTCCGGCTACTATCAACAGAGCAAGAGGCTCTTCTGGGGCCACCCATCCCACCAGCGCAGGGTGAGATGGAGGGCTCCCTGCAGAGCTAAATTGCAGTCTGGAGAAATTGCTCAGACAAGCGTCTAGTTTCAAGACAGATGGATGAGGGGAGATGACACTCAAAACACTGCTCTTCATCTGAGCCTTTACTGAATTTTCTCTTACTGGTATTGACTCACTTCTTGAGGATTTATCAAGCTCCCTCCCAGCTCCTTTGTGCTTATTTATCTTCTCCAGTTTGCTACGAGGCTGCCGCATCAAGGGCTACCAAAAGCCATCCAGAGTTGACCTTGCAGCCACCCTCTGCAGCCACACAGGTCTCAGCTATCCCCTCCACACCAGTCCCCATTGGCCATTTTTTCCTATTCCCAAAGTTTTTAAAAACAAAGCACAAAACACACTTTCCAACTCCAGCAGATTACAGCAAGATATGACCCACGCAGCTGGAGCCCAGCTTGGGACAGGGACTGGCGACAGAGAGCGGAGTAACCCAGCCCCCAGCCAGGAGCTTGCACTACCTACAGACCCACTGTCCCATCTCTTTGCAAACACACATGTGTTCATCCTAAATCAGTTGCAGGAAAGAGGAAATTATAAGCATGATTACTCTTAAACGGGGGGAATGTTTAATCCAAAAGCTAATGTGCACTTTGATCCAATATTAATGAACCAGCACCTGGTTGTATATCGTCCCCAGCTTCAAAAGAGAGGAAGTCTTAATCAAACACTAATGTGTATCATAATTTGTAACACAGTCTAAAACATCAAAGACAAGAGTGTCTACGAATGGACTAGTTTTTCAGATGAAAGTGTTTTCTCCCAGGAGAAGCATTATCCCCAGCAGAACAGCAGATCTGAGAAGCTGTTAGACAGTAAATAGGTTTTGACGATGCGGGGGGGGGCACTGCACGAGCCAAGTTTTGGGTGATTTCTGCAGCACCCGCTTCAGACACGCAATCCTTGCTGCCCTCATCTCACAGCACCATGGCATTTGCACCCTTCCCAACAGAGGAAGGCTTCCAGCAGCCTCAGCACTGCCCTGATAATGTGCGTGGGGTGGGCAGACCCGCTCTCCTGAGAGCCCAACCTGCCCCGGGGGACCTGGGACACTTTGCCTCACCCCTCCCTGCCCCAGCATCCCACTCATGAAGCAGATGAGCTGGCCTGAGTGCTAGAAGCAGGGACATGCTCCTATTCACTGTCACCCCAAAAGATCCTCTGGCAGGTAAATGGAATCATGGGATGATGAGCTGGAGGGGAAATGTCAAGCACTCAAACTTCAGCTTCTTATGTCTGTGCTATTTAGAAGTTCAAAAAGCCTCTCTAGAACAAAAAACATCCTTTGCTTCCAAATAACTCTGCTCCTACTTGGCAGTCAACACAATTCCTTTGTTTTCTACCCTAAATCCGTGGGTATTAGAGACTGCATGGAGGCATTGGCTTCACTGTACTCAGCACACACCAGGCAGCAAACCCTGGGGGGCTGCTCAGAGCTGCCAAGCACCCCCAGCCACGGGAAACCCCAAGGATGCTTCCTACCACACTGGGTCCCTGCCAAGGATGCGGGGGAGTATGAGACTCACCTTCATCACTTGCTGGGCCAGGATGGGGTGGCTGGCCAGATCCTGGCCCAGGAGCGCGGTAGCGATCTGCTCGCAGTATTGCAGGGCCTGGGCTGGGAGCCCGTAGTCAGCCAGGCGAGAGGCGTAGAGGAGCTTGTACACCTCGGGAGAAGGAAGCGGAGCAGACAGAGATGAGCAAGGACATGTTCATGCCTGTGGGTCCCTTCTGCCCCAGCACATCATCCCAGCATGACTCGGAGCACTCTGGATCATGGGTCTCATCACCCAGAGGTCACCTTCAACTTGACCCATGGGCACCCCCACCCATCCCCACAGGGTCATCCAGCCTTGCTCCCTGAACCACAGCACTGTCACAAGGCCAGACTGGCCCAGAGCCAGCAGATAGGTGGTGGGGAGAGCACACCAGCCCACCACCTTCATTTATCCACCCAATCTGTGCAGCGCCCAAGGCAGCAACAGCCGGGTACTTATTTGCAATATGAAAAGTCTATCCATTACCCAAAGAGCAGGAAGGCAACTAGACCTGAGCCAGCACTGATCAAACACACTGTGCCCCAAAATCTGCCCAAAGCCCTGCTCTGGAGGACCTCCTCAGCTGGGGCAGCCTCCCCATCACTCCCAAAGCCCAGTGAGGGGACAAGCCTTGGAGAGCAGCCTGAATCCCTGGCTTCAGGGTGGATGCATGTTTTGTGGCAGGTCTGAGCTGCTGCACCAGATGTGCTTGCGCATCTCCGCTACCTGGAAGGGGAGCAGGAAGGATTTGGGCTGTCGTAGGTGCTGGCAGTACTCGAAGATTTCCATCCGCTGGATGGCCTCTGTCCTGGCAAACTGGGCGAATGCCTGACTGCAGAGGAGAGGGGTAGGTTCAGCAAGCAGGAGGAGACCTCTCTTCCCAGACAGCCCCACACACAGACTCACAGCTCCACCACTGTGCCGGCGTGCAGCTGGAGAGGCCCAGAGCAAAGCTCACATTAAGAGCAGTAAAAACCCACAAACAGGGATCGCTTTTGTGTAAAAGTGAGATCCCGGGGATGGGGAGAAGGTGGGACACATCACTCTGGCAAAAGCACAGCCTCCTGGGCTCACTCACCAGTGGCTGCTGCCCAGCAGAGCCATGCGGTCTGCCTTCGCCCCGAAGTAACCAAAAGGAATATCTGCCATCAGGTAGCAGAAATGAGCTGCTTCAACTGCTCCCCTGCCAGCTGGATGGGAGGAAAAAAGACAAACACTTAGTCCTGAGAGAGAGGTCACCATGTGGTCAGTGTTGCTTTGGAGGCCCCCAAGCTCACAGGAAAACCCAAACCCCACCGCCCCACTTTTCCCTGTCCATGCAGACCCTGATCCCTCCCTTCTCTCTCTTTTTTCTGTTTTCCCTGATTGCTGCTTTCTGTACCTAGGAGGGGATTTCAGTTCAGTGGTAGGACCAGGGAAGCCTGAGCTTCCAGCTTCAGCTCTGCAGGGTGCCATTATTGGCATGAAATCCCCAAGAGTCCCTGCCACTGGGAACAAGTCTCAGTCCCTGCAGTTATATATGCCCTCTCTGGGTCCGGCTGCTCCAGGTGTCTCCAAATGAGCAGCTAATAGATATGCCTGGGCCTGACTCATCTGCCAGCACAAATGGCAGCAGGACCCATCAACACCTCATCCCTGCCACCGCACAGGCACTGCAAGTCTGGGGGTATGGGCATGCACACCCCATCTTGGCACCAGCCTACATCCATGCCATGCATGGTGACATTGCCGGTGTCCACCCACCGTTACAAGACAGCTGGAACACAACTGCTCACAACAGCTTTGGCTCACCCAAACTGTCTCCCATGGTGATGATAGCTCGGTGGTTCAGGTCCATGTCTCCAGCCTTGTTGGACAACATCACAGCCAGGTGAGGCCTCCAGTCTCCCCATGTGGCATCCCCACAGCACTGGAGGGAGGCAAGAGGAGAACAAACGTGAGCAGAGATGGTCACCACAACGTGGGTGTCACAGGCAGGTGACAGCAGAGGCGGTACACGTGCCAGGGCCAGCCTCTTGCTCACAGACCAGGGCTGCCTGCGGGATCCTTCCTGACATGAGCTGGAAGAGGGTCTGCAGGGGGTCATTGGTGGCCAGCGTGCTGGTGAACCTGTGAGGAGACAGCAGAGATAGGGCTGCCATGCTGGGACCACAAACCCTCATTCACCTCCAAGGGCACATCCCAAATACCCCAGAAAAGCAGTGTTCTGAGGGGCTTCCCAGAGAAGGCAGAAAGGATCATCAGCCCACAAGGCAGATGAGCTGCATTACCTCCAGAGCAGGCAAGTCTCCAGGACAACACTGGATAAAACCTCCTTAAAAGGATTCGGGTTGCACAAGACAGAAAATTTCTGCTTAACTCTCCCTGAAGGGATCAACCCAATCCAGACTAAGTACGTTAATTCCACCAGAAAACATTCATACGCGTGGGATGAACAGCTCAGACCAGACTGGATCACAGTGAAGGTAGCTCAGCTCCCCCTACCCCTATGGCTGCCTTTGCTAGGGCAGCAAAGGCAAAGCCAAAGACTCAGAATGAATCCACCCCACATTTCCAGGGAATGGCCTTCCTTCTGCTTTCCAGCCCCCCCCCCCTTGGTTTCTCCTGTCCATCAGGAAGCCCAAAGGACTTGGGCCCATCCAGATGGATGCCCCCCTCTCCCCTTTGCCCCCTCTGAAAGCATCCAGCTAAAATCAATGCTCTTTTTTCAGTGCACTGGGGCTGAGGGTACCCAAAGCGTAACAGGTTTGGCAAAGGCAGCCACAGAGCATCATATGTGGCTTTAGCTTCTCCAACTTACCCAGTGAGCACCCAGCTGTAGGTCCGAGGGTCCATCTTGCTGGAGAGGAAGAGGGCATGGCCCCACAGCTGGTTTCTCATGGCCCAGACCAGAGCATCCTGCAGCCAAGGTGGAGAAGAAAAAGGCTTTGCATTAACTCTATGTTTTTCCCTGCCCTCCCCTGCTGCCAAGAGGACCCTCTGCTCACCCGGCTCGGAGTCAAGATCTAATGGCTGCTCCGGCTTTAACTAATACCCTCCAAAAAACCCTCCCACATTCACAAAGGCCCCTTTATCTTTCTACCTCGCATGATGACAAGAACTGGGACCTTCATAGCAATATTGTCTTTCCTGGATTTCCAGGTCTGTGCTGCCTGTTAGCTCTCAATGCTACCACTGTGGGATCCCAGCCTGGGCACCCAACCTTCTCTGCATGCAACCCTCCTCTCTCTCCCTGTGCCTTTGGTATCCCTTGAGATCACATAGCTGCAATTAAACCCGCAGTGCTGGTAAAAGCATCTGCATCTTGTCTTCAATCAGGGCCCCATCCCCGTTCCCAATGGTGGAAAATCACTGCCATAAGCCCTATTGTACAAACAACTTGAACGGTTGATACCACAACCATAGGGCATCTCTTGACCACCCTTCCTTTTAAAACCTGAAGAGGCCAAAGGGGCCAAGAACAAAAGTCAGCCCTCTGTCCTGGATCCCACTCACCACTTACTTTCTTCCTGCCATAATAGAGGAGCTTGGTGAACTTCTCCACTATCTGTGCCTGTGTCTCCACAACAGGAGGGACCTCCCCCGTGATGAGGTCCAGTGTCCCCGGCTGACGCGACATCCCCTCGTCATCCGTCAGGCCAAGCAGGTTTGCCGCAGGGTTTTGCCTCTTGTATTTCTCCAGGCACCTGCAGTCTTGTATCAGCAGCTCAGCCGTGTCTGAGCCCACCATGGACTGCGAAAGGGAAGGGGAGAAGCGAGGAGGCCCATGGAGGCTGCCCCATGAGCAAAGGCTGAAGGCACTTCCAGTCGGACACGCTTACACTTGTATCCTCAATCCTAGTGCATCTCCCAGCAAGACCAGCCTTGGACACCAGCACACAGTTTTGGAGGGCAACAACTAGCAAGACCTTCACAGCACTCACTCTGAAGATCTCGTTCATCTGCTTCCAACAAGCAGCCACAGATTAGGTTGGGTGCATTTCATCGGGTTAAGGGAATAATCCCCTTTTAAGCATAAATGCTAGCTCCTCAATGAAGGTGGGAACAGTCCTTTTCAGAGCTGCTATAGCTTGGATTGTTGGTAGTTCACAAGGATGAAAAGCAGTCCAAGAGAAGGGTTTGCTCCAAATATCCAGGCAGTACCAAACTGATTGATGGTACTGTGGGAATGGGATGCTTTTAAGGTGCACCCCCCTGAAAATAACAACTGAATCAAGAGGCACATAAGGGGCATATAACTTGCCTCGCTTCTAAGATCAAAACAGTCAGCCCCTTTCCATGGACACCTACCCCATTCTGCCGGCAGAGGAGGACCAGCAGTTTCCAGAGAAGAGCTGAATCTCTGCCTTTCTGTGTTGAGAGATCACAGCTTGTGGCTATCTTCTGCTGGCAAAATGTCACCACATCCACCTTGTGCAGGTCTTCCCTTACAGCAGCAAAGAAAGGCATCAAAAGAAACCCAAGGCAAAGCAATCTAGGACATCATTCAGACTCAAAGCATCCCCAGGTTCACTGATGGGGATGCCAAAGATTCAAAGTGAGAGACGGAGAAGATCCCCAGCATCAACCACATACCACCCTGGCCACACCCAGCTCAAAAATGCTTAAATTTGATCATTACTATGACTCTTTGCACATTTCTGTGTTTCAGGCATGCAGAGGGCATCTCAAACCCTCTCTCTGCCCTCCTGATAATATTTTCATCCATCCATCTGCAAAGAACCTCAGTTTTGCTTAGCTGTGCTGCTGTTACAGCTGTGGATATCCAAGGCTGTAGGAGCAGGCATGCATACAGGCAGTATCTTTGATTAACTAGCACAGTGCAGGGAGAAAGACATGCTTGTGACCACATAAACTCTTTGGGTCTGAAACACAAGCAGAAACCTTTAAGCTATGTGCAAACCAGGCAGAACTGCTGTCTTACAAAAAAAAAAATCAGACGGAAAAAGTGGCTGAGAGAGAAGATGAGCCAGGGGAAAGGGACCATGACGGGAGATGCTGATCCTGACTCAATCACACCAACATATTGTATGGATATTCCCAACATCTCTTTCAGCACAAGTAACCTCCAGGTCTTCTACCCAGCTTCTGGGCATAGGCAGCTGTTTTGCTCAGTAAGTGGGTTTCCTCCTTCTGCACACTCCTTTCCTCTCCCCATGTTGGTTACAAGTGACAAGAAATCACACTGGTGTAACCAGTATGATACAGAGACAACCTGATGCAGTACACCATGACTCATCCCCAGGCTCACACTGGAAGAAGGTGCATGCATATTGGGTCTGACCCTGCCATGCTCAACAGTCTCAGGGGACAAAAAACTTAGGAAAAGCTAAACCACAGGTTGACCCAGGGCTTTAGAAATCCAAAGAGACCTCCCAAAAATCAGTTTTCTGGGACATGAGTACAAAATAAGGTCAGACATACAAACCACAGTAAACCCACACCCTATGAATATTCAAAATAACCATCTCCCACAATCCAAACCAACCTACTCTGCAGCAAAGGGGCTGGGCTCCCAGTCTTAACTTGGACTTGGCCTTTGCAGATATCTCAAAACCATGGGGACCCTAAAGTCTTCCTTGAGCTCATGTCTCCTCCCAAAGAAGAGGTGCTCCCAGGCCAGTCGTGCCAGCACAGCCAGGAGGACACAGCTCCTGGACCTGCTGGTGCAGCATACCTGGCCAGGGGCCCAGGGAAGGCCCGTAGCTCCTCCAGCTCTTTTGTGTCACGAAGGATTACCTAAAAAACAAGAGCAAATTCAGCAGCTAGACTCCAGCAATCAGGCCAGCCCCAGCTGGGCTAGCCAAAAGTCAGTGCCTTGGCCAAGGGCTCAACAGTGCTGCTGAACCTACTCTCTGTGCTAAGCATGTCTTAAGGTAACCCCAGAGCATAGACCCTAAACCATCACATGGACCCCAATGCTAAGGTCCAGGTAAGAAACGCCTGTTGAGATGGCATCTGCCTCTTTGGGGAGGCAAAATAGGAGACTGAAGCACTGTGGTAGACTCAAGGGATGGATATGGCCTCTGTATCGGAGAACCTCAGAAAGGTGAGCAGAATTATCCTTCAGAGAGGTATGGCCCACATCTGTCCCTATCAGGAGGGAACACTGTGAACAGGTCACAGACGACAAGAGTTACATAGCTGAAGGAGCAGGATGTGGGGCCCAAAGGTTGAAAGCAATTCCCAGGCACGGGCTGGCACGATGCAGACTCAAGGGTCTGTGTTGGCTGGAGACAAGATGGCAGCAGGGGATGGGAAGGCTGCTGAGGCAGCTGTTCGGGTGATGAACAGCATTTGCATCCCTCAGGGCAAAAGGAGCCACTCCAGCAAGGGGACCGAGGGCAGTCTGGGGTGCTGGGCTGTGGCATACCTCCAGGCTGTGTAGCTCGACGTGGGGTAGCTGCCCCTCAGCCGGGCAGTGGGGACACACCAGTACCAGCTGGCCTCCAGCTCCGAAGCACACCGCCATGTGTGGCAGCGAGAACTTGAGGGGTACCACCGGGTCTGGGGTGGACACCAAGGGCCCCCCTGCAACGACACACAGGCCACCATGAGTCTCCTTATCTTGACCCCACACTGCCTCCACTATGGAGGATGTGACCAGGTCCCAACCTGGCCCCCTCTACTGAAGTAACCCTCTACTGATCCCCCCTATGCAAGAACTGTCCCCTAAAGCAGAAGGCAAATGTGGCAGCTTCTGCACCCCCCAGGCAGAGCCACTGGACCACACACCCACCCTGCAGCCCCCTGGTCATGCCTTGCACCCACAAAACCTCCTCCAGGAAAGGACCAAGCTGTGAGACGGCAAATCTCCTAATGCCAGCCATTTATTTCCTTGCTCCCCTGCCCTGTCAGAGGGAGCCAGGGCCCCATAACACCTCACCTGCTTGTGCCGGGCTCCAGGTCCCTGAAAGCGCAGGGTCATAGTGGTCAGCACCATCACGGATGTACTGGCTGAGCTCATGGCTGCTGGAGCTGAGCCCCGACTCACGGTACTGCAGGAGCAGGCTGGGCTGGCCCAAGGGCTACAAGGAAGGAAGAAAACACAAACCTGGCTGAGAAACTAGGGTCCCCACTGCTGCTCAGCTCCCAGGGCAGCAGGACATGCTCTGCTGCCCAGGAGGAACAGCACAGCTGATTCCCATCTGAGCAGCTCACTCTCTTCAGCATCTTAGGTTCATCATGGCACATACACTGGTCATACCCAATGGCTTTTAAAATAATTTACATGAGCCACAAGTCTAGCCCAACAGTCAGCAGGCAGTGCTTGGGAATCAGAAAAAAAAGCTCTGCCCAGGAGCAAAACCACCAGAGTAGCTTTGATTTGATCTTTTAATTTGCTCTATTCCAAAACACAGTGATCAGGATAGAAGTCTGATGGAGCAGACCTTGGTGGACAGAGCTGAAAAAGACACAGCTTTCAGCTACCTCAGGAGGATGCATGAGGGCTGGACTTCTGTCCTGCTCTTGGCTCCCTGCAGAAGCGGTGTACAGCCCCATGCCTGGGGGAACAACAGCCCAGCAGATGGGCACTTCATAAATACCAATAACCCACTATAATAAACCCCAGAGACTGTTAAGCACTGAGATCAACGTAGCAAAGCAGCCCTTTTCTCCTCAGCTTCCTTCCCAGCTGGAGGAGAGACACATGGATTGCTCCCAAAATCCCTGGGAGATCCCCAAGCCTCTTGTCCTGCACCCCTGCCCATCTTGAGGTTACCTCTGAGGGCTGGCCACTGGCCTCCCCCAAATCGCTGCCAGGGGTTTCTCCCCCTGCACACTCAGGCCGGGCAGCCGAGACATATCTCTCCTCATAGGAGTCGTAGGTCTGTGTCCTGCAGAAAGGACCAAAAGGAGAAGCCCCAAAGGTCAGAGATTTTTGGGAGCAGCCACAAAGCCACTAATCTTGCAGCAGATGGTTGCACCAGCTGATACCCAGACCCCCCACCCTTACCTGTCCTGCCCCCGGGGGGTTGCAGCCAGGTTGGGGTGGTAACCCCTGTAGTAGTGCTGGTCCCGGAAAGTGGTGCTCTTGGTGTAAGTCTCTCCCTGTCTCAGGTCTAGAGAGAGAATCAAGATTTAGCATTGCCCCTCCAAAGCAACAAGCCATAATGAAGTTGCAGAAGAAAAGCAATAAGTCAGGCAATTTGCCATGCACACCCCATTTGCTTCCAAATTAGCCCAACACGGAGGTATGATAAAGCCCTGTACACATTTGCCAACACAGCACTAATATCCTTCCCTCTTTCCTTCCTCCCCTTTTCTTCAGCCCAGGAACTCCAGAAACAGCAAAAACAAGGCCCTGGCCACCCTGCTCACACAAGACCATCAGCATCAAGTTCAGCCTGGAACCAGGAATGACACCGGTTTTTAGCCATGGAGATCAAGATCAAACATTCCCTTGGGTACAACTAGTACCTGCTCACATTTCCCAAAGGCAAACAGAGGGCAGTGCTGCACAGGGAAAATGGCACCGACAGCGCAGGAACATGGGCAGGAGAAAGCCCTGCAGATGTGCAAACCCTGGGAGAAGAACCCATCCCATCCATGCTTGCCAATGTGATGCCCATTTACAAGAAGGGTCAGAGGGAAGATCCGGGGAACTACAGGCCTGTCAGCCTGACCTCAGTACCGGGGAAGATTATGGAGTGGTTCATCTTGAGTGCGCTCACATGGCATGTGCAGGACAACCAGGAGATCAGGCCCAGTCAGCATGGGTTCATGAAAGGCAGGTCCTGCTTGACCAACCTGATCTCCTTCTATGACCAGGTGACCCACCTAGTGGATGAGATAAAGGCTGTAGATGTTGTCTACCTAGACTTCAGCAAGGCCTTTGACACTGTCTCTCACGGCATACTCCTTGAGAAGCTGGCGGCTCATGGCTTAGACAAGTGTACTCTTCGCTACCAGTAAAAAACTGGCTGGATGGACGAGCCCAGAGGGTTGTGGTGAATGGAGTTAAATCCGATTGGTGGCAGGTCACAAGTGGTGTTCCCCAGGACTCAATATTGGGGCCAGTTCTGTTTAACATCTTTATCAACGATCTGGACGAGGGGATCAAGTGCACCCTCAGCAAGTTTGCAGTCGACACCAAGTTGGGAGGCAGGGTCGATCTGCTTGAAGGTAGGGAGGCTCTACAGCGGGATCTGGACAGGCTGGATCAATGGGCCGAGGCCAACTGTATGTGATTTAGCAAGGCTAAGCGACCGGTCCTGCACTTGGGTCACGGCAACCCCATGCAGCGCTACAGGCTTGGGGAAGAGTGGCTGGAAAGCCGCCCGGCAGAGAAAGACCTGGGGGTGCTGGTTGACAGCCGGCTGAATATGAGCCAGCGGTGTGCCCAGGTGGCCAAGAAGGCCAACGGCATCCTGGCCTGTATCAGAAATAGTGTGGCCGGCAGGAGCAGGGAGGTGGTTGTTCCCCTGTACTCGGCACTGGTGAGGCCGCACCTCGAGTACTGTGTTCAGTTTTGGGCCCCTCACCACAAGACAGATATTGAGTTGCTGGAGCGTGTCCAGAGAAGGGCAACCAAGCTGGTGAGGGGCCTGGAGCACAAGTCCTGTGAGGAACGGCTGAGGGAGCTGGGGCTGTTTAGTCTAGAAAAGAGGAGGCTGAGGGGAGACCTTATCGCTCTCTACAACTACCTGAGGGAGTTGTAGTGAGGTGGGTGCTGGTCTCTTCTGTCAGGTGGCTGGAGATAGGACGAGAGGAAATGGCCTCAAGTTGAGGCAAGGGAGATTTAGGTTAGATATTAGGAAAAATTTCTGTACTGAGAGGGTTGTCAGGCATTGGAACAGGCTGCCCAGGGAAGTGATTGAGTCACCATCCCTGGAGGTATTAAAAAAGCGCGTAGGCAAGGCACTTCATGGTTTAGTGGGCATGGTTGATGGCTGGACTGGATGATCTTAAAGGTCTTTTCCAGCCTAAATGATTCTATGATTCTGTCCCAGAGAAAGCATCGCCTCCTCTGCAAGCAGGTTGCCTCCATCCCCAGACCCAAAGGACAAGCTCATACCTTTGTCATCTTGCCAGGCCACTGGCTGCCACTGGCGGCTTTGGTAGGTGTAGTCATCCCCATAGCCAGCTGCTGGATACTGCCAGTGGGGGTCTTCATATCCCTGCCTGAAACACAACATACTCAATCTGAGAAAGAAAGGGCACTGCTGCAGGTTCTGGACCACATCTAGGGTTAGACTCATGCCCTGGATGGGACCTTTGGAGGAAGAAAGGGTAATGGAAATAAAGCCAGCTCCCCTGCCAAGGTGCCCTGCTCAGCAGCAGGGCCAGAAACTGGTCCAGCATCACACCTGAAAGCAGCAGCAAGAACTTTGGATACTTTCCCATCCACATCTACGAGAAAGCTGTGCACTACAGTTTCAGGCAATGCCCAATTTCAGCTCCATGATGTGGACTTGCCATGGGGATCAGCTTTCACCCACATTTTAGGAGAGGTCCCCCAAAAGCACCTTCTCTACCAAGTTCTGGAGCTACCGCACCTACCGCACAGCTCAGCAGGTCTTCCCCTGTGCCGGAGCTTAGCCCCAGCCCAAGCCACCCACCTGGCACTCACATACCTTAACCCTTCACAATTTACACAACAATTTGTCAACCCTGTGCAACACCCACCTTCCCGGTGCGAGCATTGTACCACCTCAGCACAAAACTCTGCGTATCCACACCATAACTCGCCAAGGGCAGTAACTCAGGCAAATCAATGCAAATTTGCTGGAGCACTCAAAGCTCTCTCAGCAGCGAGAGCATCCTCTAGCCCACATATTATCCTTCCACCCTCCGCTGTTTCAGCAGCTGAGTTTGCAACCTCCCTTTTGCTCCTATATTACCGTTTGTATTTTTATTGTTCACCTTGCACTTGGTAAAAAAGAACTGCATTTAATCAAACCTTCAAGAAAAATGCACCTCAGGACCAAGACGAAGCCTGTAAAACAGCAACCACAGAAGTCACAGCTGTAGGAAGAAATCAGAGCTGCAACTACTACACAGCCTTAAATATAGAAGTCACCAGCTGCTTTAATAGCTGGACATCACCTAATCACCCACTGCCTCCTCGAGGCTACTTGCTGTTTCCCCTACGCAGTTACAAGGGCAGGACCCGCGTCACAAGCCCATGAGAGTGGTGAAACGGGCAAATCTTATTTCAAGAAGGATTACAAGGAAGGGGCTCAGCACGAGCATCGCAAAGTCAGACAGCTCTCACCTGGAGTACGGCCTGTGGGGTTTGCTGCTTTCATAGTACTCAGCCCGGGAAGCCGGTCCACGGGCATCCCTCCAGGGGTGGCGGACCTCATCCCAGGGGTGGCCGGGGAGGTGGCCCCCATCCCAGGGGCCGGGCTGACGGGGGGGCCCTGCACGGAGGAGCTGCCACCTTGGCTGTGGTGGGGGGCCACGGTGTGCCCCTCCCCACCCCGCCCGGGCTACCTGCCTCTCCCGGAACTGGGGCGGCCAGGCAGGGGCCCAGGGGTCCATCACCAGCTTGCCAGTGAGATCCTCTCCGGTTTTGGCGTGGGAGGAGAGGTTAAGTCCCAAATGGCTTTAGTGGCCTGCAAGCAACGAGATAAGGCACAGTGCGTTTGATCAGTGGCTTTTCACCCCCCCTCAAAGCCCCCCAGGAAGTCTGTTGCCACCTACTCCCTGCTTTTGGGAGCCTGCTGAAGCACAGCATCCTTTCCAAAATGCCCAGAGGCAAGGAAAAGCCATCTCCACATCTAAACTTGAAGCTCCCCTTAAAACACCAGGATGAAGTGGTCCATTTTTGAAAGCAACAGGCATCCAGCTCTTCCCAGAGCCAGAGGTAGGATCCAGGTAGCATCCTCCTGCACCCCCAACCAGCAGACCACCAGCACCAGTACTCACAGTCTCCCCAGGCAGGTTAGAAATCAGCTTTACCTCTGCAACAAGGTGGTGAAACCCCATTTTATATGTGGTAGAGGAAGGGATATTGGCAAAGCTACAAGCAGGACAGGGAGAGTTATTCTTAAATAAATGAGCAGGGACAGAGGCAGAGAGAAATGGAGCTTTGCTCATGTGAGCTATGAGGTGGGGTAGAAACAGGGATTTCCTCCTGCCTTCCAGCTCCAGCAAGAACATAGCAGTTCAAACAGACACCAGATTTATTTATAATGGTCCTACACAGAAGAGGAAACCCTAAGGAGAGCCCAAGACAACACATGGGTGAAGCCCCAGCTGCCAGAGGGGGGTGCCACCCTCAAGCCCCCCATATGTCCTCTTGCAGCATCGGTACCCAAACTGCCCCCACAAAGGCTCACAAACCTCCCTGATGCGGGCAGATAGCCAGATGCTGTCTGAACCACTTGTCACCCCTCTCACACTCAACGTTTAAGGCATTTTGGGATCATTTCAGTGCTGGGAGGGGGGCGACACTCAGATCTCAACACAGGCAGCTCAGTTTGTGGCCCTTCTAGGGGAAATCAGGGTTAAATCCTTGCCCTAAATAGCCCCCCCAGGCATAAGTATCCAGACACCCACCATTTTGGTCCCACCGAGGGCCCCCCTAATTTTTGGCCAGGGGTTCCCACTGCCATCCACCCCCCGCAGCAGCCACACACACCTGCTCAGAGGCCGCCGGGGCCCGTCTTCCACTCCCTGGGGTGCCACTGCCAAAGTCCACTGCCACATGGGCCGCTGGCCGCTGCGGGGGACAAAGGGCAACCTCCGCTCCTCCGCCCCAGACTGACTCCCTTGGCTGCTCGCTCGGCTCCCGGCAGGGTTTGCACTGCTGTTTGCATCCCTGAGGGTCACCTTCCCCATCACTTGTGCCTCCTCTCACCCCAGAGGTGGAGCGTGCAGCCCTCGGAGCTCAAAAAAAGCCGGATATTTCTCCTGTGGGTTTGTTTTTAATGCCATAAGTATCCTCCTCTATACATCCTCACGCTTCCTAAATAATAATAAATAAAACCTGCTGGCTGAGCTGTTGGTTTAATACAGACCCAACTCAAGCAAGTAACGTCTGTCCCACCAGCCACTGCCCAGGGCAGAATTGGGGCAGGATGGAACTGGGATTCACCCCAGCATTGCCTCATCTAAGTCCATATAGTGCAATAATGGCCTCACTCTATAAGCGACCAGGGATTCCTGCCTGAAGACCCTCTCCCAAACTCTCCCAGGTACATTAAAAAACAAAAAAAGCAGTAAATTAAGGCAAATGGCATCATAGAAAACCGCAGTAAAATCTAGATATAAGAGCCAGCGTCTTACACCCAGCAGCCTAGCGACATGCCATCATCTCCCCCTCCACAAGGGAAAGCACACATGGTTTCCTAACCCCCAAAGCCTCCATTTGCTGAATGCAGGCAGCCCAATTTCAGCCCAAGGGCAGCACGGAGGAACATCTGATGACCAGCAGAAAAAGAGCTTTTTTTTTTCCCCCCCTCTTCTTTTTTAATTTTTTAACACCCTTGCAGTCCTCGCTTTCCCTGAGAAATTTCCTCCAAATTACCTCCACTGTGATACCACACCACCAATTTTTTTTTTAATTTGCAGGCAGGATCATATTCCTCACATTGCAGTGGCACTGTCAGGCAAAACCCTATTCTAATGAAGTTGGAAGACTCCGTGTATTTGTCGTGGTTTAACCCCAGCCAGCAACTAAGCACCACGCAGCCGCTCACTCACTCCCCCCCCACCCAGTGGGATGGGGGACAAAATCAGGAAAAGAAGTAAAACTCGTGGGTTGAGATAAGAACGGTTTAATAGAACAGAAAAGAAACTAATAATGATAATGATAACACTAATAAAATGACAACAGTAGTAATAAAAGGATTGGAATGTACAAATGATGCGTAGTGCAATTGCTCACCACCCGCCAACCAACACCCAGCTAGCCCGAACAGCGATTCCTGGCCCCCACTTCCCAGTTCCTATACTAGTTGGGACATCCCATGGTATGGAATGCCCCCTTGGCCAGTTTGGGTCAGGTGCCCTGGCTGTGTCCTGTGCCAACTTCTTGTGCCCCTCCAGCTTGCTGGCTGGGCACGAGAAGCTGAAAAATCCTTTACTTTAGACTAAACACTACTTAGCAGCAACTGAAACCATCAGTGTTATCAACATTCTTCTCATACTGAACTCAAAGCATAGCACCTACCAGCTACTAGGAAGACAGTTAACTCTATCCCAGCTGAAACCAGGACAATATTATAGCTTCAGAGCTTTAAATTTCCACCCTATTGGGAGGGTAAGAAATTTTCCCTGGTGATCCTAAGAAATAAGCACTCAGTCTCTGCAGAATTCAAGGTTTCAGATAAAAAAATATCCTTAGCACTCAGCCATACTGAGAGCTGACTGGAAGAAACACAAACCAGGGAAGCACCGTCTTCGTGCTGCCAAGCTGTTTTGGCAGAACAAAATTAAGCATCTCCTATGCCTTTCACATCTGCCCTTCAAAACTTTGGGAGGATTTGAACAAGGTAAAAGGTGTGTTATGGACAGGTCATGTCTTCCAGGAAAGCTAGAAAGGATCCTAAGAGACCATGAGCATCCCACTTCTTTAATATATAAATATATCATACTTCCACTTGGCTGCTGCCTAATAATTTTATGTTCCTAGCCAAGAGGTGACTGCTGGATGTTTCCAACCTGTTTTCTAGCAACCACACTAATTTATACTGGGAATCTGCAAGGGTTCAACCAGCACCACATGAAGAGGCTGAGAGCAGCCCCAGCTTCTCGGGCTGCTGTTGCCAGCCAAACCTGAGGGATTTGGGTTGCGAGGAAGACTCGGGAGTTTGACTTGCAGAAAAGCAGCTGTAATTTGCAATGCTTGTGTTTGAGAAGGGTGGAAACACTGTACTGGCCCCTGCTAGGGAAAAAGATGCAAAAAACTACCAATAATATCGAGCTTTCAGCAAAGGTGGCTTAAAATGGACAGCTGGGGAACACCAGTTTAAAACAAAAAGCAGGAAAGTGCATTGGAAAAGGAGAGAGCTAGGGGAAGGAGCTGGGAAATGAAAAGTGAAGGAAGAAAAAAACAGAGATAAAAGGACCAGATAGGCTAGAAAGAGGGCAAGAAGTGGGTAATCCTTTAACTACATCACTTCTAGCCAAGAAATTTCTATTTTTAAAGGATTCATAGCTTTCTTGGAAATCCAAACTCTGTGCTATGGCATTGCATTTTGAACTGCCATTGAACTTACAGGACTATTGCAAAGCAGGCAGCACACACTACAGATAGCACTTGTCAGACAGAGCTGAAGGGACAGCAATATCTCTTTAAGAAATCATATTTTTCCACTTTAAAAGGTTTCACTACTGTTGTCACAGTAACAAGATTAGGTGGAAAACATTTTTCTTCACCCCCTCCAGATGTCTGCACAGCACATTGGGGCTCTGCTCACAGCCAGCCCTGGACACTCAGGCCAGTGTCGTCGTCCCCCGCCCCAACCCCAACGAGTGAAAATAATTAGCCAAGCCTCATTAGAAATCTTTGTAACCTAAGAGGAGAAATCCAGGTGGCTTCAGCACCTGATGCTATTTTTAGGTGATTTACGTTGTTTCTAATTGTTTCTGAGATGAGATTATTATTTTTTTAAATGGTATCCATAGGAAGCTTTGTTCATCTCTGAGCTTTAGCCCCCTAGAAATGAGAGAGATATATACATACTTTTTTATAGACATGTCTTAAGCATCATGTCACAGTGCAGGGGAGTTTGAAAGGGCTGGCTAGAGTCAAGAGAAAAAAATTGAAACCAACTCATCTCATCACATCTGCGGGGCAGAAATGCAAGTAGTAAATGAGCTACACAGAACGTGAAAACCTATCTTAAAAATTCTATACAGTGAAAACACCAGCCCTGAACACACTGCTGGCATTCAAGACATTTGACAGTATATTATATGTTACACAAACCAAGAAAACAAAAAACACTCAGGAAACCTTGGGGCTCAGGTTCCCAGGCAGGCTGAGCACCTGCACCAGCGTGGCGAGAGCCCTCATCGTCAATCAGTCTCAACAGCAGCTAATTAACTAATTACCTTTATCACTCCTCCCAGGCTGACAAGGAAGGCATGGTAAGAGCTCCTGCTCTAGCTGGGGGTGGCATTTGGGGCCTTCCCAGGCCAGGGACATCCCTGTGGGAGGAAGGTGGTGGCTCCTCAAGCAGCTGAGATCATGTCTGCTCCCACCTGCAGCCGCTGCATTAGCACCATCGTGTGGATTTGATCCAGCCAGCATGGCACCACTTGCCATTCTCCTGTAGTCAGTTCACACACTTAACTTTTCACTGATGGTTTTGCACCTTTCTTCCCCAAATTAGGTTGTTTCCAGCTTTCAGGGACTGAGCCATCCCTCCCATCACCCCCTCGCACATACACAGTCATGTTCAGCAACATCCAGACATGCCTATTAATTTTCTGAGACTTAGCAAGAATATTAATTGCATTCCAGAGGCATCCAGCATACAGCAAATTAAGAAAAAGCCACATCGTACCCAATGAAGAAACAGAGCTGTGAA